CCCCAAAACCCCAAAACCCCAAAACCCCAAGTGACAAAGTCTCATTTGAAATAATAAATTTAAATCAGATAATATCTTTAAAATGGCACAAAACTTCAAGATCAAGAGGAGATGCGCGAAATTAGTGAAAAAGAAGAACCCCGTTAGTTCCCCAGCTATTGCTAAGGTGACTATTGATCTTGATGAGTCTGTTGGTGGTACCCCCAAGAAAGCCCCTGATCTGTCTTTCTCTTCAACTCCGATTATTTTATCATCCAGCCCAGGCCCATCTTCTAACCTGACATCTGAGATTCGCGATTTGTACGGCATAAATGATTTATCTCCATTGTATTATTCAGACACAGTAGAAGGATACAGAAGTGAAATCAGGTATCTTCGGTTGAAACTTGCTAAGCTTCGTCAAACCGATCAACTTGCAGAGGCCGAATCTCAAAACTCAGAGCTTGTAGAACAAATTCAGACTCTGAAAAATCAAAATGTTAATCTGAAGCAACAACTTGACCAAGCCCATAATCAGAATAATGTACTAATCAGAGACTCCGAAACCTTCCTAGGCCAGCTAAGAGCAGAGCTTGGGGGAACTGACCTCAGCCTGGGCCAGATCCTAGGGAAAGTCAAGCAACTGGTCCAACTTTTTGAAGATGTTCAATTAAAGAAAGAGATTTGACAAGAAAAACTAAGTCTCAGGAACTCAAGTAAGTTTTTAAGGACTAGCTGTAGGGGTCATTGACCTAGAACAAAGTGATGAAAGTGTTAAATTGTACTCTGATTCTGAACAACTGAGTGATAAATACCGGAATGCTAGCATGTTGGAGTGAGGGTGACAGACATTACCTGTTTTGTGGCCCTCGAAGCACACTCAGACTACAGGAATCCCTGAGTATGAGGTGTCTAGTCCGTTGGTGGAGTCTCCAAGTTCGTATAAGTCTTTGAGTTCTTTAAGTATTCCTGTGATGAAGAAATCTTCTTCCTCATCTAAGGAACCCTCTTGTTCTGTTAATGAACTAGTGGTTGACTCTAACTGTCAAGTGGAAGTGGTGCCCTTTAAAGTTCGAAGAAGTAGCAGGATAAGACAGCGAACTTTTAATCCTTCAGATCTCTATCTTACAAACCGAGGTATGTACTAGAAGTACTTTCATTTAGAGCTTATATTTTCAACATCCCACCTTCAACCCGGGGTTTTGGGGTTTTGGGGTTTTGGGG